TAATAAATAATATTATTGATTATTCAATGGATGAAGAAGATGTGTGGAACTTGTAGAAGATGGAGACGATATCAAAATATAATGGAAATGTTTTGGAGATTAAAAAAATAAATGAAAGAAATGTAGAAGATGAGATTTTAATATTTTTAACTGTGTATGAAAAACCACCTTATAGTTATGTTAGAGCATTTCTGAAAATCAGTAAGAAAAAGCATAAAATGATTCAAGGTATACTATGGATGTTGACTTATCATAGTAGGGAAGGGTGCGATGCAAAAGAAGACATTAAAACATATATTGGCAGAAACAAATTTAATGTCAAAAATACAGTGAGAGATATCAATATTATTTTACAAATGATGCATGAAAGAGGTAAGATATATACACAATTTAATAGTCATCATTTAATTTTTTATCCTGAACTTAAATTATAAATTAACCCAAAAACCTTACAATAAAAACATTGTAAGATTAATGTTTGAAAATTATGGGGATTTTATATTTTGGGATTTTTGCAAAATATATTTTTGGAATTGGGGATTTTGGAAAAAATTTATTTTGGGAATTTAGGATTTTGGAAAATATATTTTGGGTATTTGGGATTTTTAAGATGGTCTGGTCTTAAAGACATGCCACCTATCAATAGTAGCATGGAGATGACTGACAAAATGCAAAAATGTAGGCGAGGTGAAAACACTTATCCACCTGACCTATTTAATGTTAGAGTGCATATTTGTGATTACTGCCGAGAACAAAGTAAAATTGATAGGAAGGAAAAGAAAAAGGAATATAATAAAGTGCGTAATCAGATTGAAATAGAATGTGATATTTGCCAGTGTAAAGTGAGGAAATCTGCAATATCCAAGCATTTGAAAACACAGAAGCATATTGAGAATGAGAATAAAGTAAAAACAACAGTTGAGGAAGAAAAACCTAATGAAATTGAAAATTCAAAACCTCCAGTAGCACCAGAGGTCAAAAAGGAAATGGAGGAAGTGAAGGACAAAGTTTTTCAAATTGTAGGTGAATTACCCTTTCTGGAAAACTATTTCATTTCAGCATATTCCGTGAGGAATTCTGCAATTATTCAATTTATGAAATAATATGATTTGAATTTTAACCATAAACTTTACAATAAGACTATTGTAAAATTTATGATTTACATTTCTTCGGAAAATGATAATTTTGTAAAATAATATTTTTGAAAATGCAGGAAAATATTTGCAAAATTTATGTATCAACTCTTGAGTTGAGGTTCTGTTATGAATTGATGAAAAATTATGTGAATTGGTCGGTTGAGGGGATTTTATCTAACTGGGGCACGGTCATTGGTAGGTCTTTGACCCATGGCAATATAGGGAGTGTGCACTGTTCCACTGACCTACGGGGGTGTTAAGCAGACACAGACAAGTTGTGCCGAGTCAGGACCCTTTGGACTGGAAGGTCGGCACGCACGGGGCGAGGCGCTTAGTGATTGTGCCCCTGCTATGTTTGTTTAACAAGGGCTGGGGTTACTCCTATCAGTTTTTCTCTTGGAGCGCGGGTGTTGGCTCTGGCTCACAAGATCCCAAGGTGACCATTCACTTCTCTGCGCCATCCTCAGCTTCATGCCTGTGGCCTTTAATTGAGGGAGCCGCTTCAATATTGGGGGGGGGGAATAAGCACCCCATCTCCAGCAAGCGAACCCCGAAAAGAGGTTGATCCAGAACATCTTCCTGAACCGCTGAATCCTTGGGAGAGAGCCGATCCTCCAGAAAGATGGGCATCTCGGGTCTCCTTCAACTCCGCCGGCTGCTCCAGCAAGAATCCGGCCTTGCCCTTCTGCTCCGCTGTCTTAATTGTCTTTGTCGTTTTTATCGTTCCATGCATCTAGCCATCTGTCAAGCTTGTCTCCCTCCCCCCTCCCTTTGTCTCTGTCTCTTTCTCTCTTTCTCTCTTTCTCTCTTTCTCTCTTTCTCTCTTTCTGTCTTTCTCTCTTTCTCTCTTTCTCTCTTTCTCTCTGTCTCTCTCGCTCTCTCGCTCTCTCGCTCTCTCTCCATCTATCTATCGACCTCTGCCTAATAGTCTAGCTCTCTATCTCCATAATATCCTTCCATCTGAACCTATGTATCTTGCAATCAGCCATTCTTGCCAACCCATGCAGATCCACAAGCTACACCAGCTAGCCAATCCCCGCTGCTTTTGGGTTGTCAGGGATACTTTTGCAAGCAAATGCCTTCCAAGGACTTCTTCCCAGCTGAAAGCTGTGTGGTCTCTGCCGTCCCCGGCATGGCCTCCCGCTGGTAGCCCCTGCCCTCCTCAACGAATGACGTCCTTTCCATGCAGAAAGAGACCACCATGTAGAGCTCGTTAGATTACCGTAGTCGCCGTTACAGTCAGTCTCTGGCCCAGGTTGCCTGACATCTGCTGAGTCAACTTGACGTGCTCCTTGTCGAAGTTTCTTAGCACCTCAAGCACCGACCTATGTCACACGTCATAGGCGCCCGCGATAGGTGCTTCGAGGTCTGGAGCTTCTCCTGATCGGTCATGAGCCGTGGCTTGCCGTAGCTTCTTGAGGAAACCCGCGTCCGGATTCGCTTTGAAAGGGGGGGCCTTCGACATGGCCCTTGGATAAGATGACACGCGCAAATGAAGCATGTGCTTTGCAGCCGCGCTTTGATTCGAGGCGATGCAAAAAGGCCCACGGCCGAATGTTCAACCACGCACCCTTGGAATCGCTATAGAAAGGGAATGTGCAATACAAAAGGCTGCGTGACAGGCGCAACTATCAAAATGGTGTCCCCGGAAAGTTTTTTTACCCAAGGTCGAAAAGGACGGGGTTGCACGCCTCTAAATCCAATTGCGATTTGTGTTAACTGGGGCTCAAGAGGATGGCGCTTGTGCATCCCCGCTGAGGCCGCGTTCTTCAGTTTTTGCCCGTGTGGCACGTGCAGATACACCGCGCGGCTCCCTGCAATGGTTGACACGATTGTGTTGGTCCAAATGACCTTGCTAGCGTCAGGGATCTGCCAAATTGGCACCAAATAGTTGGTTTCCCTATATGTCCCTCTAGTTTGAGCTGAGCGCTTCTTCTAGGTGCATTTCCAATCGTGGCTACCCATCTGCAGACACGGTGGCGAGTGGCCAATGTTGCGCCGAGGCGACATTGCTTCCTGAAGTGATTTCCGCGGAGGGGCTGTCTCAGCAGGCCAGCGCCTTCTGCGCATTGACAATCAGCCCTGCGCCAACGGCAGGGTGCGCTGGACAAACTGGTGCGCAAAGCTGGCTACCGAGGATACTGCCAGAAGCCTAGGCTTCAGCTGGAGAATTGGAACTTGACGTGTCGGGTCCTTTGCAAGAAGGCGGTCTTCCGAAACCCGACATGGTCCACTTCCATTGAAACAAGGGTAAAGGCAAACTGATATAGTCGGCAAGTCCTTCAACCGGCTTGCTTGAACTTTAGGCAGGCCAAAGCTGATGAAGTCTTGGGCTGGGCCCCCAACCGGTGTCACCGCTTGTGACCATGTCAGCAGGATTGCTCCACATGTTTGGAGTGGGATTCCCGAGGTCCTTTTGAGAGAAGGGTTTGAATGTAAGGAGAACTCTCCAAGCAAGTCCGGAATGGATGGTTCAAGCCTTTCTTCGGCCAGAGGGTCAGCAAGCCACCTGGCTTCCTGCAGACTCGATGGTGCTCAGGAAACCACGCGATTCAAGTCCGGAGCTTATACAGTATGCTTGCGGATATTCCGACATTTGGGGAATCTGCCATGAACTCTTTCTTTTTATTAACGGGCCAAGCGTGGGGGGGGGGGGGGGGCGGATTCGCCGAGTGTACAGAACATGGGTTTGCCGGGTTTGCCTCAAAATTATTATTGCTAGGCCTAAGAACAGGATTCACAGTGTAAGAGCGGCATGTCTCGTTTCAGCCCAGTTCTCTCAGAGTGCTTCGAGGTCGTCTGCCTGGGACTTGAGTTTCGACTCCTTTTCGGCAATGCAGGTAGGGAGCCAGACAGCACGTTTTGCATGCATGCAGGCTTTCTAGGGCGCGCTTTCAAAGGCACATGCAAGAATAGGACCAAAAATAGAGCCTGTGCAGCCAGAAATGTGCGGACAGCCTTGCGGAAGTCCGTTCTGCCGCAGAACTTTGCAGCGGGTGGGGTGTTTATTGATTGCAATGTCTCAAGCGCGAGGCGGTCTGGCTGGCTAAATGTTTTCCGGAAGCAATTCTTTCACAACCGAACCTGTTCGAAGCTCTCTGGAATAGACGTACGTGCAAAAGGAACGCTACACGGCGCAAGGTTCACGTCGGAGGCCTGGCGTCCATTTAAATCTGCTTGAAATCAGCTTCTCATGGCACATGTTGAGTCTGTGCTTCTCAAGAGCCACATCAGCTTGGAGTCGAAGGCCGGTGGCTCTATCTTGGCCCCCTGGGCGTTTTTGGAGATCGAACACCTCCAAAAGGGTCGCCGTAGGTTGCCTCACAGCATCAACCCATGGGTTCCCAGTTTTGAAAAGCATCCCGGCCAGGACCTTTGATCCGTGTTCCCTGCGAGTGAGGCCGCACCCGGGGTCAAGAATGTTTGGGCCGAAAGGGTTGAAGGAGAGAGCGTGCCCAGAGCTGGAAACCCGAGTTGCCAACCAGTCGCTGCCCTTTTGTACATATTCGCGTCTCACAGCCCGCGAGTCGGCGAGTCGGCAAGTCGCTGGCCCCGACGTTCGACTGGAAAACCGTCAAGTGAGAGCCGCGGCCATCAGCCATCACCCTATCCTGGATTTTGCTAGACAGGACTTCACGTTGAAATACTGACCGTGGCTGAGATAGTGGTGGGTGCGCTATCGGCAGAAAGTGGGTCCAAAGGGTCTTGGTGAAAAAACAACGAGAGGGCCCATTGGTACTCCAACTCACATGGGTTGGTCGGCAAGGCGTTGAACATATGTTTGGCCATCAGAACCCAAGGCAAGGGTCATTTCTAGCGGCGCTCCTCGGCGAATCTGTGCCCCGAGCTCTCGGCTCAAGCTTGGGAGCCTGCTGGGGAACATGATCTTGGCTGATTTGTAAGCTGAGGCAACTGGGACAAGTTGTGTGTTCCCACCTCAGTAACCGGCCCGGGGGGTCATACCGGCCTGCATGCGAAGCGCACAGCTGACCGTTTTTTTTTGCGCCAGGGGCAGCCACATTCCACAGACGCACGGCGGCCCCGGCCCCAGGGGCGGCTCCATGCTTGTTTGACGCCATGGCCAAGCCAAGTCGGCGCATTGCCATCCTTTGGCCGGAAGCCTCAGTTTGGGCGAGGGACCTTTGGCTCAACATGCTTGGGATCACTGACCCCAGAAGCCAACCAACTGGATCAAGAAACCTGGGGGCCAAGCCTTTCCTTTCCATCTCTTTTTCAGCGCGAGCTTCCAAACCTAGGCGGCGATGGGCGGCGCTGTCGCTTGGTGAATGTGTCCTTTCGGTTCCTTGCTTCGGACCTTCCATTGCACCGAGCTCGCCAGATTTGGTCTAGGGATGTCCACTGTGTGTGTGTGTGTGCGTTTCTCCGGGGCATGGAAGGTTGGATGAGCCCTTTGACATCCCTTTGACCTACTGTGGATGGACGATTCCTGCACCACCTAAGAATTCCTGGAATGATGATTCCCCTGTGAATTCCAACCAGCAAGGGTTTCCTCCATGGTTTCTCAGGTGGTGCGAAATAGATTTCGTCCATCCACAGCAACAACTTAAGTGGTCTTTTTCGGCATATTGAGTTGGATACATGCGCTAAGGTGCTTGGCTCCGCTTGCAGGCCATCCTTGCCCTTCGCGCTGCCTTGCTTTCGGTCGGTATGGTTGCACATCGGTTTATCTTCAGCTTGGCGTTTCGGGGAGCAAACAAACAGGGACGCGCGAAAATTCAAGCACCAAACAAATCTAGGGCCAGGAAGTAGGGGGAGGAGGAGTCCTAATTGATTAGTCCACGTCCCCTTAGGGGAACCAGCCAATTTCGACAGCCTCGTATGTTTTTACCACAGGAGAAACCCTGCTGGATCGAATCGCTCGGCTGAGCCATGATCTTCTGACTGATTCGCTCGCCAGGCGCCGAGCGCGTGACCCCGGCCATGGTTCAGCCCCTAAAGCCGCAAACGTCTTGTCTCATTTGAGGTCATGGACTTGAGTCACTTGCAGTGGCCAAACAACCGGTACCAAAATGGAACCCTGGTAAGTGGCAACATGGACCAAAACCTGCGTAGCCCCTGTTTAATTTGAGCCGCACCCACTTAGGTTTGGACCATCTTGAGCGGCAAGCCGGGAGTTTGGGACGGTTTCTTTTGGCCAGTCCACTCAGGAACTCGTTTTGCGCGCGCGCCCGATCCCTTTGCAGCCTGAGGCGGTGAGGGATCTTCCCACGCCTGCGACTCAGATTGGGGACCCCGAAGAAGATGCCAAGCAAACGCAAGAATGCCAAGGCGGGCCTTCCGCAGAGTTGGTTTTGTTTATGTTCCCCCTGTTGGTTTGAAAGGGGATGTCACTCTTGGAAGTTTGCTTATTTAAGCATGTGTTTACAACTGGAGAGCTTGGAAAGGGAGGAGCTCACTTGAGTTTGTTCAAAGTTCAGGTTTTCTCCAAACTCTATACATGGACATGTGCACGGGAAATGGAGGAGTTCAGTTTGTTTTCTAGTTTATGCAGTTTTGCTGATGCAGTGAAACCTGCGAACGGAAAATAGCACTTGAACACGGATGATTTCAGAATAATTCTGAGTTTGTTCAAATTGTTCTCAATGATTTAGATTTTCCTGCCCTCTGCAACTTGCTTGGTCATGTTTTGTTCTGATCTTTCTGAACTTATTCAGGCTTTGCCGAGTTTATTCGGACTTCTCCCCCCATTTGGAGCATCCAGGATCGCGTTTATTCACCGAAGCCGATCGAGAAATCCTTGGAGCATCGGCCGCCTTAAAACCGTTTTGGATTCTAAGGCCACTGCAAGTGTGGGTCACATGCCCTTCACAAACAGAAGGGAACCCCCTCCCAGAAAAGCAGACCCGGATGGTCATGCCTTTTGGCAGGGAATTCAGGGGCCCCTTGTCAGACGCTGATCTAGGCTTCAGCTCAACCACTAGTCACAGAGTTGGACAGCTGGGAGGGACAGGGGATGGTTTAAGAGCCAGGAAGGATCTCTTTTTGCGTAAGTGTGTCCAAGGACATCCGCCCTCGGGCCTGTGTTCTGCCTAGTGGATGGCTGTTCCATGCAGTCTCACTCGCGATGCTCATCAGCAACCAGCATGTACAATGTCGCTCGAGTTCGAGGCCAGGTTGCAAGATCGCAGCTTGGCAAAATGGGTTTGGCTACAATGGCGTAGTAAATTCAATATGCAGAAATTGGTTGGCCTTCTTTGTCCTCAGATGAATAAGGAGTACTGCACGAAGGGAGGGCAGGTTGGTGGTGGTGGTTGTGGTGGTGGTGGCGGCGGCGGGGTGGGCGAAGACCAGGGCTGACCCAGGGTTGGAAGCATCGTCGCGTTTTGTTCAGACCAAGAAACAACTTTGTTATATTGAGTTATTAGGTGGGGTGGAGAATAAATAGGGGACATATTTATTGTATTTGGTACCCTTTGATTCATCGGGCACCGGCATTAGCCTTTTCACCTCGGCTGGAAACCAACAAGAAAACACCAATTTGAGGGGGCCCCTTATTTTGACATGCACCCATATGTTGTATCCTATAGTGCTCACTTGCTCTGTGTAGAAGCCCTCAAAGGCACGCATGTGTATTCACAGCGGTTAAGCCTTCGCAACAAGGTTTGCAGGCCTCAAATGAGAGAGTTGAAGCGCAAAGTAGCAAAAGTCCAGCGCAACTTTCTGGTTTTGAAACCGATCTCCGGTACCCAGCCGTTGAAACAGAGAAAGAGATACCGGTGCCCACGCTGCGTAGCTTACCGAGGATGGCCGCATTTTGTTTGGCGTCCCCAAAGTAGCAGCAATGGGCTACAAGAAGTTTGGCGAGAAGTACGGCAGTCCAGTTTCGTTTCCGCACTAGTCTAATTGTTTTGTTGCGGCCTAGTCAAGTCGATATCACTTGACTTGTCACTCCACATCAGTCACCTATGGTTTCCCATGCAAGGCTCCTAGCCCATGTGAAGCCCTCAGGATCTCTCAGCTCCTTGCAAGTCGCTGGCGTTGCCCTTGGTGCCGCCCCGCTTTCTCCTCACTGGGTTCTGGTGGCCATATAATTGATAGGTCGCTTGGTTTGACCGTTCGCGCTGAACATGACTGCGATGCAAATGAGGATGGCCAGGAGCAAATTCTTCCTCAGTTCATGGCTGCCAAACCTTGCTGTGGTGGCCCGGACACCAAAGTGAACTTCGACTGTGGAAAGCTTTGCGAGACAACGTAGCGCAGAGGGTGTGGGGAGACAGGAAGGCACACCTGGCTCACAAGAAGTCATCTCTGCAGGTCCATAATGTGACAAAGTTCCAATGCTAAGGTTGAAGCACGAGGACTGACCTCACCAAGCGGGTCTCACTGTTCAAGCTGGCATTGAACTTTTGTGCCGACACGCAGCTCACGCAACTGGTGATTTCAGCAGATCTGCCTTTCAGAGCTCCGGCCTTCTCGGGCCCTCTTGAGCTGTGGGGGCCTTCGAGGTCTGAAGTATCGGGCATGCCAAAGGCCCAAAGTCAAGCTCCTTACTGAGGGGCAAGCCGCTTCGGGCAGAATTATCAATACATCTTGGTGGGATTGCTGTGAGCGTGCCAGTCACCCACAGTTTGAGTCCCTGCTAGGCGAACACTAACGGCATCCATGGCAAGCGCAATGCGAAGAATGACCAGAACATGACCAACCATAGTGTCAAAGCTAACCACTCCCAGCATGACCATGCCAAGCAGCAGCCTGGCTGGAATTGTTGTTGACCGCATTGGAGGTATGGAGGATATATACCACCTTTAGGGATAGATACTTCCTTACACGCTGAACAAGTGGTGCTTAAGCTAGAAGATGCAATCCAAGATCCAGCCCCGGTGCTGGTGCAAGGCGTTCTTTGCTCAAGGTGTGTGATTCGGCCCACTGCATGTTCGGCGCAACAGGTCGGACCCATGTTTCCCTTCCAAATAAGTGACAAGAGAGAGAGTAATCGCTGTCTTGCAGGCAGACTGACCGTGGCCAAAGCGCTGCGATGTCGCATTTGCTCAAATGGGGCTAGTCAAACAGAGCTCTGCCATTCAACATGTTTTTTGCTCGCTGAGCGCCTGTCCGCTAAGAGAGGCCTTCTGCGGGCATGTTGAATTCGAACCGCCAACGATGCAGGCCGGCGTTCAATTTTTGCGCCGACACGCAGCTCGCGTAGGCCGTCACACATGGTACTCGTTGAAGCGTCTTTCAGCTGAAGCCTTCCTTGCAACTGGTCATTTCAGGAAACTAAGGAGGCTTTGCCTTTCAGAGCTCCGGCCTGCGTTTCTGTGACTTGAGGTCTGAAGTCAAGGCGAGCTTTACGCAACTTAACCCCATGGCATGTTCAGCGCAGAAGGTAGGATTTTGAAGGCTTTTTGTCAGGGATGGGGGGGGCAATTTGCGTGCCGGAGTCGGCACAGCTGTGAACTGAGCATTTGGTGAGCGATCACCGCGCCGGCCAACCACTGCTGGCTGCAGCGCTGTGGGTGCCTTGTATGGCCTCAGTCCATGGCACGTTGGGCCTGATCTCAGGTAGGCAAGAGCTCGCCCATGCTGGAGTTGACGGCCGTCAGCTCTGCGCCATCTCCCGCTTTCCGACACACTGTGCATGTTATTTCGAGGTAAGGCCTTTAACCGCCTGATGTCGTGACACGGCAATCGCCTGTCAAGCTTGCCGGCGAGGCAACTCAATCAATCAATGACTTGTAGCCGCCAACTGCGACAGTGCTTAGAGCAAATTTCATGAAGCAGAATGGCGGGCCACCAAGAAGCGGCCCGAAAAACAGCTAGAACTGTTGTGTTGCCTTCGCCTTTGCCTTTGTGTGACGCAGGTCCAAGTCTGTTCAGCTTCTTGTAAGACAATCGCCGCTCCGTGAAGGACAAAAGCAAAGCAACCTTTCAGCTTGACGGCCGATGGTTCAGGCAATGCCACAAGGTCAAAGTCAAAACTGCTCGCTGCAGGGCAGAAGATCGGATAGTGCAGGCTTGTTTGTCAACGATGGATCATGCTTAAACCATGTGAGTCCGTCAAAGCTGCCTCATTTCGGCCAACCATAGGACCGACTCGCGTGGCATTTGCAATGGAGCAGCTTAAGCCAGCAGGCTAAAGCAATTCAAATGTTGCCAGCGGGCTGAAGCAGTAGAAGCTTTCGCTCCTGGACGCTGCTAGAGCGTGACCGCTCCTATAATGCTGACTAATGGTAGGTTGATTGTCATTCGCAGCGGGGCAGTGATGTCAAGGTCCCAGCTTGACCTGCAATGCGCGACATTTTCTGGAAGAGACGTGAAAAGAGCGGGAGTACAACCTCGCTTCTTGTAAGACAATCACTGGCCCGGGCAACACAAAAGCAACCTTCCAGCTTGACACTTGGCATGTCAGGCAAAGCCGCAAGGTCCACGTCAAAACTGCTGGCTGCGGCGCAGAAGATCGGATAGCGCAGACTTGTTTGTCAACGCTGGATCATGCTTAAACCATGTGAGTCCGCGTCAAAGCTGCCTCATCTCTGCCACCCATAGGACCGCGGCGTTTGCAATCGAACACCTTAAGCCAGCGGGCTAAAGCAACGCAATCTTTGTAAGCCGCCCCTGGCTGCCAGTAGGGTGTGACAGCTCCCATGATGCTGACTACCGGTAGGTCGTTGGTCATTCGCAGAGGGGCAGTGATGTCAAGGTCGCAGCTTGACCTGCAACATGCGACGTTATTGGGAAGAAAAGTGCACAGAGGAAGCGGTCTTTGATTGACTAGTTGGGATACAACCCCGCTTCTTGCAAGAATCAGTGGCCCGGGAAGGGGCAACACGAAAGCAAGCTTTCAGCTTGACGGTTGGCGTTTTGAAGACATTTCGTCAGCGGTGGGGCGCGCAATTTGCGTCTCGGAGTCGGCACAGCTGTGAACTGAGCATTTGGTGAGCGATCACCGCGTCGGCCAACCACTGCTGGCTGCAGCGCTGTGGGTGCCTTGTATGGCCTCAGTCCATGGCACGTTGGGCCTGATCTCAGGTAGGCAAGAGCTCGCCCATGCTGGAGTTGACGGCCGTCAGCTCTGCGCCATCTCCCGTTTTCCGGCACACTGTGCATGTTATTTCGAGGTACGGCCTTTAACCGCCTGATTTCGTGACACGGCAATTGCCTGTCAAGTTTGCCGAGGCAACTCAATCAATCAATGACTTGTAGCCGCCAACTGCGACAGTGCTTAGAGCAAATTTCATGAAGCAGAATGGAGGGCCACCAAGAAGGGGC